CTGGTCTTCAGCAGTCACAGTGTCCCTGCTTGTGAATACCCCTCAGTAGTGTGGCCCTAGGGCCGGCACATGTGAGGGAAAAGGCGGGTGTTGGCAGAGCAGGGTCTGGAGGAGTCGTGGCAGTGGTGTGTCCCTGGGAGTGTGTGCTGGCAAAGAGCCCTAACAGTGTAAATGCTCTCTCCCCAGAGGCAGAGGAGTCCTTTGAGTTTGTAGTGGTGTCCCTCACTGGTCAGACCTGGCACTTCGAGGCCTCAACGGCAGAAGAACGGGAACTATGGGTGCAGAGCGTGCAGGCCCAAATCCTTGCCAGCCTCCAGGGCTGTCGCAGCGCCAAGGACAAGGTTGGCATGGGGTGGGAGAGCTTGCTTGGAGAGCCTGGCTAGGGGGAGAGCCAGAGAGAGGACTTGGGACTGATGAACTATCCTTATCTCTCCTGCCTCATGGCAGACTCGGCTGGGGAACCAGAACACAGCTCTGGCTGTGCAGGCTGTCCGCACGGTCCGTGGCAACAGCTTCTGTATTGACTGTGAAGCCCCCAGTGAGTACATGAACAATAGTTCTGGGTGTGTAGGGGTCAAGTGACAAGGGGTGGTGGACAGAATGCAGAAGGGGTGACCTTCATCAGTGGCCTCTGGGTGCCACCTGCTATCTGTCTCTCCCTCTGCCCACATAGACCCAGACTGGGCCAGCCTGAATCTGGGTGCCCTGATGTGTATCGAGTGTTCAGGGATCCACCGACACCTGGGGGCTCACCTGTCCCGGGTCCGCTCCTTGGACCTTGATGACTGGCCACCCGAACTGCTAGCTGTCATGACTGCAATGGGCAATGCCTTGGCTAACAGTGTCTGGGAGGGGGCTCTGGATGGCTACTCGAAGCCAGGCCCTGAAGCCTGCAGGTAAGCTAGTGTTGTTCCAGTGCTACCCGGGAAGGAGACAGCCAGGCCCCACTGTGGGGGTGGGTAGACCCTGTAGGAGCAGTAGTATTAGAAGGGTTAAAACACTGTTGCTCTGCTTGGCGGTTGGCCCCCAGAAGGGGGGGATGTCTTTCCCCTGCTGGTGCCTGTCACTCAGGCGCCTCACAACAACAGGGCCTTTTCTGAGCTGTTATCGGCAGGTCAGGGGCCAGTGGGAGGCGCATGCGCAGGGCGCATATCACTGTGTGGCTCCTTCATCCAAGCCTGCCTGCTGAGATGGGGAGAATGGGTGGTAGATAGGGTGGCCATGGCCCCCTCTCAGGCTATCACCCGCTTTGTTCCAGTGCTACCAATCGCAAAGAGTTTAGACAGCTTGATAAGCTGCCACTCGGGCCTGCTTGGAATCTTCTTGCCCTCTCTGCCCTCATATCCCTAGTGGCCCTGAGGCCTCCCTTTTTACTCAATACCACCTCATCTATGTGACCTTTTGCCCCTCTGAAGGCCTGGAATCCCTGGGCTCCTCTGTGCCTTTCTCTTCATCACAGTGGTCCTCCCCATCCCCTGCCTAAATGCCTGCTTCCTTCCTTGCCCCATGCCTTGATGGGCCTGTACTTATAGAGAGGAAAAGGAGCACTGGATCCGGGCCAAGTATGAACAGAAGCTCTTCTTGGCCCCGCTGCCAAGCTCGGATGTGCCGCTGGGGCAGCAGTTACTCCGGGCTGTGGTGGAGGATGACCTCCGGCTGTTGGTGATGCTGCTGGCCCACGGGTCCAAGGAGGAAGTGAACGAGACGTACGGGGATGGCGATGGGAGGACAGCGCTACACCTGTCCAGTGCCATGGCCAATGTGGTCTTTACACAGCTGCTCATATGGGTGAGTCTGGATACCTCTGTCCTGTCCTGGCATCCCCCTCCTCAGCCTTCAAAAGCTGCCTCTCCCCTGAGAGCTGAGACCTTTCCTCCCACATGCCAACTGAATATGCTTTCTCCTGCAGTACGGAGTGGACGTGAGGAGCCGTGATGCCAGAGGCCTCACCCCACTGGCCTATGCCCGCCGGGCCGGCAGCCAGGAGTGTGCGGACATCTTGATCCAGCATGGGTGCCCTGGTGAGGGCTGTGGGTTAGCACCCACTTCCAACAGAGAGCCTGTCAATGGCACGAATCCCTCCGCAGAGCTGCACCGCAGCCCTAGTCTCCTATGAAGCTCAGGAAGAGGGCAGAGGGACCAGAAGACTCTTGGCCTGGAGGAAACAGATGGAAAAGCAAGGATGTGCAGTGAAGAAGAAAGGAAAAGGGTCCAGGGATGGAGGAGAGGGTTAGGATTTGAGCTGCAGCAGAGCAGGAGTGTGTTGTGCAGCCCTCTGCCCTATGGTGCCATTAAGGGACAGAACCCTTTGGAGGTACCTGTGAGGAGAGGGGGGCAGGACCTCTCCCTCCTCCAGAACCCTGCCTCCTCGTGACAGCTCCCGCAAGCTTTCGCCCTGCCATGGGTGGGGAAGGACGAGACACAGGATGGGGTGCCAGATGAGAGACAAGGGGCCGGTCTGAGTCCCGTGTAAAATTTGTACATTGGAGTATTTATGTTTGTGTATAAATGTGGTGTGTGTATGATGAGCCAATAAACCAGGCTGTATGTGTGGCCTCATTTCCCCCTGTGCCTCAGTACTCCAGCTTTGCCAGAGTGGCCCTCGCCTCCACTTTCTGCTTTTGTAGTCTATTTTAAGATTTAGTGTCCCTGCTCTCCTTAGTCACCTCCTGAGTTCCTCAGCCTTCCTTGGCACGGATGGAGTAAAGTCTGTGGGAAGCTGACAGGGCAAACCTGCCCCTGACGGGAGACCAGCTCTACTGCGGCCTTCCTGCTCACTGCCCGTGTCCACTTCTGACAGCTCGCCAGTGGTCTCCGCTGTCATCACTGCTCTGTGTAACCACGCCCTGCACTGCCCAGTGTGCAAAGGCAAAGCCTGTGCTCCTTCCAGAAGACTCAAGACTCCCGTGGCCAGTGTTGACAGAGCCACTTGGGCAGCACCCAGGACTGCTTGGCGGCTTTCTTCCCCAGAGTGCTGAGGAGAGCTGGCCCATGCCTTTTGAGGACCTGGGAGGGGCAGGGCGCTGGTGGCTAAGAGCCACCTCGACCACCAACAGCTTCTAAGCTTAACCTGTCCCCAGCTAAGCTGGAAGCAGTGCCCAGATCACCTACTCCATCCCTTTATCCCTGAAAGAAACCCCAGGGAATTGCCTCTCCTAGCTTATGGTGGATGAGAATATTAACTTTCAGTGCTGGATCTGTTTCCCGTTCCTGGAACCACCTTGCTAACAGCCCTTACTTTCTGAAACACCTTGAACAGGTGGCCACGTGGCGGGCTGCTGCTGTGCCTAGGAACACTCGCCACATATCGGTTAATAATCAAGTAACACTATTGAGAGGAAACCAGGTTTTATTTTTTTCATCCACGACCCCTTTTCAAGTCTATTAAGACCCTTACACAGGGCAGAATCTGGACAGCGCCATAAATAGGTACAGCACTTGGTTTGCAGGCACAGGATGGGCTAACTCAGACGCCCTAAAGACAAGCTGCTTGGCTAGCTCCATGCTGCTTTGCACAGTGAAGGCTTTGTGGGAAGCCAAAAGCCTGGGTGCTGGCCACCCTCTCACATCCCAGAACCTGGACTCCACCCAGTTCTGCTGAACCTCTACCGTGACCTCTATAGATCAAGTGTAAGGGATTGGGACCTATTGACTTTGAGGTCCACCTGACTAGGAACTAGGATCTGGACTGCATATTCAAGGTTAAATTTGCAAGGACCAGAGAAAGAGACAGCTTACTCTAGATCTATGTGCACACTAGAGAGTTGCTTAGGGGAAATGAACTGCCAAGGACAGACTGTCTTGGTCTCATTAGAGGTATTCAACACCTAACTGAATGTGACATTAACTACTTAGCCACTCTGGGGCTCACTGGTGGCCAGAGTGGCCTGCAAGGCACTGCCTCATGCACAGTTGTTCACTTTTCCACTCTCCCTAATCCATACAGCTCCCCCAAAGGCTGGTTACCTCAACAGCATCCATAGTGTGCTTCTCTCTGTCTCCTTCCCCCAACATCTGCAGATCTCTAAAGCCCTGCTCCTGGGATTTACTGTGCCCATAATCTGCCCCACACCCTTCCAGAATCGTCTCAGACTCACTCTTGTCCTATCTATTTGGCAGCGGCTTCTTTCAACCCATCTTGTTCTGTAGTAGAAGAGGCTATTGGGAGCCTAACCCTTCAAAATGTAATTAATGGACAGGAGAAAGCACAGCTAAGGTTGCAGGGGCAGAAAAGCAATGAGCGCCTGCCTCAGGCCCTGGCACATGAACAGCAAATGAAGGCAGAGATGGAGCTACATGTCCTCTGTAAAGGAAGCTTTTTTTGTCTAGCTCACATGGTGGAGTGAGCCTCCTGATCTGCCCTAGTCACTGTCAGGACAGTGTCCTCTACATATGTGACCTGGACATTCTCCAGGTTAAACTGGTGTCTCCCCAGTGTGCCAACTCCCCTAAAGAGCCGATACCAGTAGCAGTTTGCGTGTTCACAGGAAGTGGGGAGCAAGAGGGGTGGGGTGCACTGTGGACAGCGATTAAGAGAGGGAGGGGGCTGCTGGAGAACCCGCGCTTTGACTATGACAGTCACTAGTCATTTTTGCATGTCATTATACTGAGCAGCAAGATGGCACCTTCACAAAGCAGGAGGGTGGGAAACGGTGTTCCCAGTGCCCTTTCAGGGTACAGACAGACAAAGACAAAATAGTTCCACATATACAAACTTTACACAAAATAAATAAGGAACTGTGGCCCCGGGGCTGGTACCATCCAGGGCTTCTCCCCTCTGTTAGAAGCTGCCCTCTCAGGTCTTAGCCATGGAACCCTCTAGGCCCTGGGCATTTCATATCCCCAATCCAAGAGTCCACTTCTGTTCCAGAAGCTCCCGGGGATCAAAATTTGAACCCTGCACCCTTGAAGCCCCTAGTTCTGAGGTCTCTGGAACAGTCCCAGGCCAAGCACTCACATCTGCAATTCACGGAGCACAGCAGACCTCTCCCAGAGCAGGGTCCACCGGCCCTTTCAGCACCCAGTGAGTCTTGGACAGGCACAGGTGCAGACAGATCCTTTGCCTTCCAGTCCCCAGCAGCCTGGTCAGGGCCGGGCTCCCTGCTCCATCTGTTGGTGCTGGCTGCGCACAGCAAACCTGTTGACATGCACAGGTATGGGCACCACAATCTTGGGGTTTCTCACGGGCTCCCCGGAGCGGCTGCTCACATTGCCAGCCTTGATGCGCTTCCACTTGGCCCGGCGGTTCTGAAACCAGATCTTTACCTGCACCTCACTGAGCTTGAGGGCATGGGCGATCTGGGAGCGCTCTGTCAGGCTCAGGTATTTCTTGCAGTGAAACTCCTTCTCCAGCTCCAAAAGCTGCTCACTGGTGAAGGCTGTGCGCCGCCTTCGGCTTTTCCCCCCAGGAGTGGTGACCCCTGTGGCCACTGATGCCCCCTCCTCAGCGCCAGTCCCCAGGCTTCCCTTTAGCTTCGGTTTAGGTCCCAGAAGAGCCCCTGGGCCCCCAGCAGAACTGTCCAGGAAGCTGTCCTCGCTGTCACCGCCTGAGCCCTCTTCCTCCTGCTCGCTGCCTGCTGCATCTCCTGCTGGGGCCTCCAACTTCTCCTCATCTGAGCTGTACACCTTCCCCTCTGCTGGGGGGGGGGTGGAGTGGAGAAACCAATGGATGGGGAAGGAGAGGCACGTGGTGGGAGCATGGCCAGGAATGAACAATTGAAAATAAGAAACAACACAATCAGAAAGGAAGAGATGTGTCAGAAGGAGACAGGATGGACATGCAAGGGGGAGTGGGAAAAGGGTTAGGGGAGACAAAGAATGGGAAGACAGGTTTTAACCAGTAGACTTCACTGTGGAGAGCCGGGAGGCAATGCACATGACTGCCCCCCCAACTTTCCCACCACCCCACTGCATGCTCCCTACCACCTCCCAGCTTCCTTCAAACCAGGTACCCATCCAAGGTCCAGTGTTGTGCTTACACCCACCCTCCAAACCCAGACATGCAGTCCCAGGGTGAAGTGATATGGAAGCTAGCTGGAGAGAACCGGAGCTCCCAGGGATCCGCCAGCCCCAAGAGCAAGTGGTACCCTGACTCTTAGGACATACATAATAGATCTAGGTCACAGAATCTTATGTCTAGATGGAAACTTCAGTGTCATCTGGTCTCATTTCAAGTCTGAAGCCAAGAAATCCTACAGGCCGGAGAATGAGGTCTCCTTGTCCACCTGGTTCCTGTTTTTAATCAGACTGCCCTGATGGGACAGCTTCCAGCCCTGCCTCATCTGTGGCCGAGCCACTCCCTGCCACTCAGCCCCCTGGTCCCTTTCCAGGGCTCATCCTTAATTTCAGCATCCCATCATCTCTCCCTGCACAGACCCTCCTGGCCGGAGCTGCCTGCACATCACCAATGGTGGCTTCTTGAGGCTCTGGTGTCGGCAGGGAAGGCTATAGGGAAGTGTGGAATAGTGACAAGGACAAACTAGGGGAGGGAATGTGGGAAGACATCTTGACTCCTAGTGGGTGACTTGTGTTATCACAGGATATAAATATTTTAACCTATACTCAGTCCTAAAATTTAAATCAACCACTGGTTTTAACCCTAACCACTGATGTCTTTGTCACGACTGTAAACAAAGCATTTAAAATGATTTGGGGCTGGGGAGATGGGTCAGCTGTACAAGCATGAGGGACTGAATAGAGATCCCCAACAGAACATAAAGAGCCACAGGTGGTCAGGGGTGGCGACTCATGCCTGTACCCCAGCTATAAGACCAGCTAACCAGTCTGGCTAAAATAATACACTCTAGTTTCAGTGAGAGGCCCTGTCTCAAAAGACTAAGGTAGAGTGTTAGAGCGAGGGCACAGTGGGCGCTGCCATATCTGCTGACCTGTGTTCAGTCCCTAAGACTCATATGGTGAGAGGGTAGAGCCAGCTTTCACAATCTGTCCTCTGTTTAGGTCTCTCTCTCTCTCTCTCTCTCTGTCTCACACACACACACACACACACACACATACACACGCACACGCGCACGTGCGCGCACACATACACGCACACACACACAAGAAATATATTTAAAATGTAATTAAAACGGCAGTAAGATGGAAAACTGATTTGAGGAAGAAATTCTAACACCAACCTCTGGCCTCTGCATGTACCCATTCAGGCTAGCACATTCACATACACTGCACACATGTATAGACCACATGTGTGTGCACACGCACATGTGTGCACGCACACACACATACACACACACACACACACACACACAAGTAATTTCCTTTAAATATCTTTTCAGTGTTTTGAGTTTTTCAGTTTTATAAAGTTCTTTGTTTTCTGCCCTAAGGAAACAATAGAAATCCAAAAGACAGCCCACTGACCAGTAGGAAAGAACACAAGGCTGCCTTAACTCAGGAGCAAAGCAGACTACTGGGTGAGAACAGTAGTGTGAGCCCCATCCCCACGCCACCTACACCACACACTCCTTAGGCATGTTCAGAGGTCAGACTTCAGCTGAGTGAACTGGATCCCAAGCACAGTGAATGGTGTATAAGAGGAGTATACAAAGACACGGCAGCCCTCAGGCAGGCAGATGAGGATGGCCCCTCCCACTGGGCCAGTAGTCAGTAACCTGTGAGTCCACACCTGTCCCTTCATGCCTGCTCCTTCTCCTCAGGATCCACAGAGACTTCTGCCTGAGGCCAGGTTCCCAGCCCCCGCTATTACAGCCAGCAATGTAGTTGTCCTGGCCCCAGCTTGCAGCAGCCCAGCCAGGCTCCGAACCGCCCCTTACCTTCCCATAAGCAGCTGGCCACTCAGGTGCCTCATGGTGTCTAGAAAAAGTACCAACTCATCCCTGGCCACAAACATTTTGTCTTCTGTAGGATTAAGGCCTGGGAGCTAGAGAGATGGCTCAATGGTTAGGAGCACTGGCTGCTCTTGCAGAGGACCAGTGTTTTATTCCTAGTACCCACCAACGCTGTGGCTCACAACCATCTCTAACTATAGGTCCAAGGCATCTGATGCCCTCTTCTGGTTTTTATAGGCACTTCATGCACATGGTGCACAGGCAAAAATTCATGTACATAAAATAATAGAATACAAACAAATAAATCTTTTGTTAAAGATTCAGGACATGGTGCCCTTCTTCTTGCTAAGGGATCTTGGTCACAGCATTTTTTCCATTTCCATAGACTCAGATTTCTCAAGTCCCAAATGGAAATCTCAACCTTTTTCCAATATACTTGGCCTGGTGGTACCCTCCTCCCCATCCGCAGACTTTACCACGACAGCACTCTATTTCTCTGTCACATGGCACCATCCAAACTCCCCACAAATCTGCCTTTCAGATCTGACCAGAGCTGAGCCCTTTCTTACCACCACCTCACTGAACTTGCTTCTTCGAGTCCCCAGCCCTCTGGCTGCCGGGGATACCCCATTCCTCCCCAGACCAAACATTGGCTCCTCCCCTGGCTCTTCAGGCTGGTCCTTTTTCCTTGTCATCCTCTTAGAATTTAGATGCTTCTTGGACTCATCTGCTACCACAAAATGTGACATCAACTTCATTCACAAAAACAAACAAAAATCTGTCTCTTCCTATTAGAATATGAGTTTCACAAAAATATGGATTTCAGTTGAATTTTATTCACAATTATAGCTTTGGTATCTTAAAAATTACTTATAAAGTAGACATTCAATAAATATTGAACAAAATAAAAGCAGCTATTTCTAGGGCTTGCCTGCATCCTCTCCCTGTCTCTCCATCAGTTCCCTTTCTCAGGCTCCCCTGAGTTCCCTTTCAACTCTACCCTTTCCTAGCATCCGTGTGACCCCCTCCAGTGTCCAGTATGCCTCTAGTCTTCCCACATTCAGAGGGGTCCTATAGGATCTTACAGTGCTGAAAGAAAGTGAAGAGAGTCCCAACACTATTACTGAGTCCTATGGTTTCAACTTTTAAAACATACTCTGTAGTAATTAATAATGTGTTAACAAAAACATAGCCTGATGGCGCAGTGTTAAAAAGGCAGAAACTGGATTTCAGGGCTCGCAGGATAGAACCATTTAGTACAGTGCCAAGCCCCCCAGGGGGGCTTCCAATAAATCTAAATTGATGATGATTGAGAGGAGGCTCCCCGCTCCTCGATCTGGCAGAGCCCTCCTGAGATCATCTCATCCATCCCCCTGTCTTTAGACAGATCCAGAAATGCCAGCCCACACCAGCAGGCCACCCTCAGTGCCTCTGCATTTAAAGCCATGTGAGGAGCGAGGGTTCATGGCCTCTCTCTGTTTCTTGATCCCGGTGGGACACTGAGTGGCAGGGGCAAGAGTTTCTGTCTGTGCCTTTATGATCATGACATTGAAGACTCTGATAAGCTACCTCTACACTAAGGTGGGGGAAGGGCGGCCGAGGGGAACACACAGCCACTGGCCTCAGAGGACAGCTTTTGGAACAATGAGGAGATCCAAAAGAGGGGAGGCTGAAGGGAAGGGGGAAGCAGGCAGAAATGAAAATAAAGCCAGAGGGAAGTGGGTCCGGAAAGTCAAATGATGACCCAGACAACGTGAAAGGCTGAGTCTCATACAGAGACAGGGAAACGTGTGTGTGTGCGTGTGTGTGTGTGTGTGCGTGTGTGTGTGTGTGTGAGAGAGAGAGAGAGAGAGAGAGAAACAGGACCATTTCCCCCACCCCCACCCCCAGTGCAGACACGTGTGCTGCTGTCACTTGCTCTTTGCTCCACCAGCAGAGGGCACACTGAGGACCTGGATTGAGTCAGGAATGAATGAGCTACTCAGCTACCCACGGAAGAAAGGCCCTTGGCAGGCAGCAAGTCCACACTTTACCATTTCCACATAACTTAATCAAGAAAGAAATGCAGGAGGATCGAGCAATGGCTTATCACAACCACCCATTACTTCGGTTCCAGGAGATTAGATGCCCTCTTCTGACCTTCTGGGGCATGAAGGATGCATGAGGTACACACAAACATGCATACAAAACACGCATAAAATAAAACAAGTCTTTTATCAAAAAGAGCGAGAAAAAATTTAAAAAGATCAAGGAAGGAAGGGAAGGAGGAAGAGAGGAAGAGAGAGGGAGGGAGGGAGGGAGGCCAGGGTGGGTGGGTGATAGTGCAGAAGGCTGGGGAGCTGGAAACAGGCAAAGTTCACTGGACTGATCCTGGGATTTATGGAACTGACAGGTTGTTCCTCAGGTATTTGGAGAACCAGAAATCACTAAGCTTTAATGACGATTACTCAGAGAGTTATGCCATGAGAGCTGCTGCCCCACTGAGCCCAGACTGCACTCAGGTTGCACAATGCAGGAACATGTGGTCAGTTGCTGCTTCCCAGAGGAAGGGCACGGCTCCAGGAACCAACCGGACCGGAGAGCCCCATGGACATACAGGACCCATGTGTGGAGGCCTCAGTAGGCTTTCCCCCATCCACTAGACAAAGAACTACAGGCAACTAAGGGAGAAAGTAGAAGAAATAGCCTTCTCCAGAGAAGAGCACACCAACTGGTTTCCATCCTGAAAACATATATACGAGTGACATTATACAGACCGAGCAGGATGTATTTAGTAGTATTCATATACATACATATATGCATATAGTAACAATTAATGAAAAAGGCCATGG